TTCTTATTCTTTTTTTATATTTTGTATGCTTGCACATATTACATTGTGTGCAAAATCATTGTTGTCATTTTATTCCGTCGTTTACACAAGTAAAATATTCGTGAGTGAAAACGATATTGGAAAGGGAAAAAGGAATGTGACCTTTCCGAGTAGAAGGAGAGAAAGAAAGAAAGAAAAAGATAAGTAGAAAGAGAAAGAGAGAGAGAGAAAGAGAGAGAGAGAGAGAGAGAGAGAGATGGCACATAACAAGGACAATGGCTAAACTCGTCAAGAGACCAACTTTCTTTTCTTGATTAAATGAATATGTGTCATTCTAAATTATAGCACGCAATTACAATCATTATTTAAAATTTATCTGTTATCATCGCATTGATATATCGAAATTGCTATACGCACACGAGCGTGTATTTGACTAATCGTGTGCAATATGGCGACTGGCGATGATCATTTCCGCGCCTTTTCCCGGTTGGGAGACGCGTGAATGTCAACAAACATGTTTTGTACTTTCGGATTTTACGAAAACATCGCAAATCGATGAGCCGCACAGCCGTCAGCGGCGTGAAATACCGAGATGATATAATGGAACAGCAAATAAAACGGTTCAGATTTACGAAGGAATCGGCCATCTCTGACATCGCGACTTCTCTAGGTAGGTTATTTTAAACATAAATGTTTCGATTTTTACGATATTTTGATAGAATAAGACTATGTGCACAATGGAGAATGTATTAGGAAGAGGAATAAATAAAATTAAATTTTATTTTAAAAATGAAAATTCGGAATAAAGATTAAACATAATCCGCAAAGGACACAAGATATAAAGATTTGTCTATATCTTGTATTTATTTGTGTCTTGTATTTATTTGTGTCCTTTTTGCATGTGTTTAATCACTATATCGAATTTTTATTTCCAAAATTTAATATTCATTCCTGTTTCTAATATTTCCTTCATTGTGCAAAAGGCCTAATGGAAAATGAGAACTTAAAGAGAATTTAAAAGAAACTTGATTCTATTCGAATTCTATATTGAAATTCATTTTCATCAGATCAGTGTCATTTCTTATTGAAAATGGAAATGTCTATTTCAGCACAAGATGCAAATTTGTATATTAAGATGTAATTTTTGGTTTTAGATCACATATCCATATCTATGAAGTCTATCAGCAAAAGTTATAACAATATCCTGCGAGTGAATGCAGCTGTACTTACATATCTGTGGAACAAAGAGATACATGAGAAGGCGAGAAACGAAACTGAAGAGGATATAGAACACTCATCTATCAGGGAGAAACAATAATTGGTATAAGGATTGCATTTGTTTGATTGTATCATAATTAATATTTTGTATTATAATATGACTTAGATGTAAACACTAATTAACGAATATATGTGAATTGATAAATCTGCATGCGCCACATTATGAATTTATTGTTACGTATGTCATGTGTGATAAATAGGTAAATAATGAGTGGTTTGCCTAACTTAATGTGACAATAAATACAAAAAAGTAACTTTATGATATAAATAACATTGACAAGATTTTGTGACGGTCATTTCCTCATTATATCACATTGTCTTTTGATCTTTATTCGACAGTAACATAGTTTAACAGGGAAACAGCTGGGAACTAAAAAAGCTCACGCCATTCTGTGATTTGGATGTGGAATTATAAATATTCAAAATGTGATATCTTTTTCACTACCAAATCACAAAAATGATATTATCACCATATACGTTGCAAACGTGCTAACGTTTAAATACTTAGAAAAGTTGCAAAATTTATAACGTATTTTGTCAGATCAGTATCATTTCTTATTGAAAATGGAAATGTGTTTCAGCACAAGATGCAAATTTGTATATTAAGACGTATTTTGTGATAAAATCATGTTGTGAAGGATAAATTATTTGTTCTTCTAGTTCCCAAACTACTGACATTAGTGAAAAGTCTCCTATGTAACAAAGAATATAACAAAGTAACTGTGAATGCGTTTTAGCAGTCTTGTAATCTGTCACGTATTCGTCTAAGTTGTCACTTATATTCGGGATCCTCCTTGTGTTTTCTTCTGGGATCGAACGGGTCCAGAGGGATTATCTGCCTGTTTTCCTGCCGATGATTAGTGAAATTGTAATTCGTGGGTGCGAATCTGTTTAGCGGTCTAGACAACATTATTGGTCCACATCTGGAACACATTTGCGGTTACATGCAAATAATTATGGGAACATGTATTGTAATCATGTGCCAATTGCGTAAATCGAAAGAGCAGTGTTCAGAAAGACATCGTTCACATATATTTTCAATCTCAGGTGTTCATTAACTTCTGCCGTTTTACGTCGTTATTTTTTAACGATTTATTTAAAGCGGCAATTAGTAGGATACAAACATTCCACCTTACAAGTGTTACATATCATATAGATTAAATTATAGATTAGTTAAGTATATGACATTTTAGTTCAGTGACTAGAGATGATGAGAAAAATTTTGACGAAGAAGCGAGTCTTTTCGCTCCTTGCATTATGCCGTTCGACGTAGAAAATAAAATCGAAAGTGCAAACACCGAGTGCGAGAAGGAAAGCGCAAATACGTAGGACGCGTATATAGATTCGCGTGTGGAACACAAGGAAAAAAGGATGTAACTTGCAAAAATTCGTGCAAAAAATGAAGCTGACGATCCAGAGATAAATCTAGAGTGATTGTCGATGAACGGGAAATAAATCTGTGCATACGCGCTAGCAAATTGAGATAGAGTGAGGTGCAATGAGAGAAAGAGAGGAGCGCCGGGAGGATCTTATTCCTCTATCACATATTCCCCATCTGTCCGCTCACACCTGCACGTATTGGGATTGAAGAAGTAACCGGTACTGCATGGCTCGATGATCCTGCAGGAACAGATGCAGAGCTGCGAATTCCAAATCTTCGTATCGTTGCTCTTGCGACATTTCTCCTCCTCGTCGACATTCTTGCAGGCGCATTTACAATTGTGTGCCTCGTAATACTGCTTGTCGTTACAGTGCTGCGGCAAAAAAGAAAAGCGACGTGGTGTGAATCATCAGCGAACAAGAATGTCAACACCTTTCATCATACGGCGTGCTTGTACGGTTAAATTTTGCTTGTGTCCCGCACTGACACACTTCAAGCACGTTGCAAGGAAGCGACAATTGTAGCAATCAGCGAAATTGGTATATTGAGAAACAGCCGTAGCGTAATTTGGTTTAAATATTATACTGTGTGTACATTGAACGTCACGCGAGTGACCTTAACACCGCCTACTAACACGCCTTTGAAAAATTTTTTTATATCTTTCAGATCTTATATCCGCGATGATATAACATCTATCTCTCTCTCTCAAGTAATTGAAGCGTCAATCTCCGTAATATATCCGGAGGATAAACAGGATAGAGATGATGTGGAAAGTGATTCACGCTTTTGAATCGCCTATTACTTCTGTTTCTAATTTCGTGTATTGTTGGGATACTTGGAAGCGGAGCTCGGGTTCCTTTCAGTCGACCGCTTGACGTAAATCGCTGTTGAATGTCGCGGCACGTACATATGTCGCGTGAGAAACAATGCAGTAGAGATGAGGTGGGAAACTCGCGAATCATGCGGCCCAGTTAAGCAGGAAGGTGTCGATTATCCGTCGTCAATTATCGGTTGCCATCAAATTACCTCCTCTTTGATCGTGCAGTCGCACTTGCACTTAGTGTGTTCCTCCAACGGTACAATTCGCCGTCCTCGATAGTCCATATCGTGCAGCGACGTCACAATCACCTTGAGAAAACAAACGGAAAGATGTTTAACAATTATTGCTTTCTCTCGACTTGGTTGATCATAATAATAGGCGCGTTTTCGTTCGTACTCTTCAATTCGACGACAATCGATTACCTCGAAGTTTCTCATCTCGACGGCTGTTGGCTGACACGAGAGCAAAGGACTAATGCAACAGCCTCCGCATCTTTTGATCCGTGTGCAGACTGGGAAGACGAACGTCGAAGGATCGTCATCCAGTTTTAGGGGAACGAGTTGCAGTTCGGGTATGCATTTGGCCGGCGTCGGCATCACCGCGCTCGATCGTTCCTCGCCTCCGAATCTATCTGGAAAGAATTCTGTTTGTATCTTGTACTCGAAAAAGAACTTTCTCTTCTGTGCTGCCGAATTTATACAGTTTACATAATGCAAAATGCGTGTTTCATAACATGTAGAAAACCTTGATAATTTATTGGACATCTTTGATTTTCAAGTAGATAATATTTTAGATGTTTTAAATCTCATAAATGTTTGTTGTATTCTTGTGAAAATTTGAATAGAATAATGTAACAAGATACCGATATTTAATTTATCAGTTGCAACCAATAAGTTGATATTTAATTTATCAATGGTAACAATTAATTTATCAATTATCAATTGCAACCAGTAAGTTATGCTACTAAAACAATAAATAGTTTGTCTAAAGATAAACAAAATTGCACGAATTATTAAATTAATACTAGATTTTTCAGAAATAACAATCATTTTTTTTAGAGTACGAAAATGGTAGACGAACATGCTCAAGCGATCTCGGTCGCAAACCGCTATTTTGTATTGGTCGATGGAATGATTTCCGGTTTTAAAGATCATCTCGCAGAAGATGTGGTACTCAAATGGTTCGGACAGACAATTAGTGGAAAGGAAAATGTAGCTGTCTTTCTGCTATCCAATAAAATGAAATCTTTTCACACGTTTTCTAATATTATTCCAATTTCGGGTCCAATTACTTACGAAGAAAAATGGCCAAATTGGTGAGAAAAAAATTGACGATACTTTACGAATATTCACATCAATCGATTATATTGTCCAAATTTATAAAGCTGATATTTTTTTCCACAAATTATTTTACATCTTTTTCCACGTGTCATTTTACATCTAATAAAATATTGCGTAATAAATTTATTTGAGAAAGTGTAATATCTTATATTAAATAAAGATGGTTTCACGCACATGTATTTCCGCGTAGGAAGATAAAACGACCCTTGGATCAGAACGCTAACAGTGAAACCTACACGAATAATTATTTTCGCGAAGCACTGGCTTGCACTTCACACGTGACTGAAAAGTCAACGACCCATGAAAACCTAATAGATTGCAATAAGAAGGGCGATGCGAACGATACAACCTTTGTGCATGATGAAAAAGCCTGTAACAAATACGAGTTCGATGTTGAAAAATATATAGACAAATTGAAAATCGTGAACAATAATAACGCGAATCCAAATGAATTTAATGCGGATGCAAATGCCGAGATAGATAAGTACCAAAGTAATGATCTTCACGGGAACGATCTCTATAATCTTTTTGAGCCCGAGATTACGTCTCAGTCCATCGTCAAGAAGATACATAACATTAATAGGATAAAATTGAAAGAGGAAATGGCACCAACCATCAGAGCCATCAACAGAGAGTGTGGTCAAGGAGATGAACCTGTTGCTACTGAAGCTAACGCGACTAAGTATCTGGAAGCGAGTGGAGAAATAAAATTTGTACGATTGGGTACACAATCAGGTAAAACAAAATTAAAAACAAAATTAATTAATCATAAGTTAAAAACAATCAAACACATAAATACGTAAGTTAAAAACAAAGTTGTAAAAACAACTATAGTAATGCTTTATTGTTGTTTAAATCTTAAATATATAGAAATAAATAAATAAATATATATTTATAAATAATTACGAAAATATAAACGCAACATTAAATTTAAAATCAAGAAAAAAATACTTATATTTATAAAAAATATTATAAATTAAACTTATAGAGAGAGATAAATATTATCTTAGTTATGGAGTTATGACATAATGTTTATCTGATATTTGTCAATAATAAATATTAAATATGCTAAAAGAATAAATTTATCATTAAAGTGGCATAAATTATATTAGAATGTCTGCTAATTATAGAATGTTTTATAAATTAAATTTTAGATTCTCCATTTTTATATCATTGGTCAAAACTTTGGAGGAAGAAAATCTGGAAACGAGAATGTAAACTGCAGATCGCGTATTCGCTTCTAACTGATAAAGATTCGCCGAAAATTATTAAAAAAGATTATGCGCAAGAAAATATTAATTCCATTTCAAATCTTTCCGTATGCCACGATAAAGTACAAAAAAGCAAACTGCCAAGTTTAGAAGAGGCAATCCAAGTTAGCAACACATTAATACGGGACGTAAATTACTTCGGTGGGTACTTGCAACCTTTAAATTTCTTCGAGGATCGCAAGAATTTTCTAAAATCTTTCGAGACTGAAATGATGAAAAAGAATTCCAGCGTGCACACTTGCGCTCATTATGTGGACAATAAATTGATTTTCGATTTTTCAAATAAGAAACCACTTAATGTTACATATCTAATCCACAAGATCGTTTATACAAAAGTTAGTAGAGAAAATGGATTTAACAACATGAAACAGCAAATATAAAATGGAATGGAACACGTGAATTACGAACACACACAAATTACGATCAAATGACAATGCTACATGTGCATCGTTTGGCCTTAGTTAGACAATATTGTTAGGTGAATCAATTGATCGGACACGCTTCGATGAATTTTCATTTATACAATAGAAGGCTGCTTCCTGTGTTAATCCAGAAACCATTTAATCCTTGCAAGGTTAAACAACATTTTAAGCTTGTAAAATGCTTATTTAATCTTGCAAAAATTTGCAATTTTTTTCTTTAAGCCACATGTATATTTGCCACGTGCACCGCATCGAAACGCATACGATTTATACGATCTTGTAGGATGATCTCAGTCCACATTGATAACTTACGTTTGTGTAAACGATGGAGAATAATCAAGGGACATACCGCGCCGCGGTTTCATTTATGTTTCTATTTAGGTAATAAAGCATAGATCCTATCGCGATATCTTGTATTTGTTTCTCCATAAATTATTAGTTTTCCGCAATAAGCTATAATGTATTTAATTATTATTACGATGTATTTGACTATTGTATTTAATAATTAATATGTGATTATGCACCATTCAAATATGATTAACAATTTTGATGTCTCTTCAAAAAGTTATTTAGCTTTTTGATCTTCGATATCAATAATTTACTATGACAATAATAAGTTTTTAATCTCGATGTTTCTATTTAATAAAGTGTGAAATTTGTAACGAGTAAATCCGACTTATCTATTCCTTTATATTACAGCAGGTTTTTCTCAACATTATCGTTTGTCATTGCATTTGTATTTGCATTTGTACACAATAAAGATAACGCAGTAGCGAATTATACTTACTGGCAAACGTAATACCCTTTTCGTTCTCAGGAACACCGTGAATGAGCTGCATAAATTCCTCCAATGAGTCTATTAAATTTAATCTATTTGCTAAATCGACCGGTATCTGAAAAATAAATTAATATTATACGTACAGATGATTTTTGATATACGTCACCGATATACATCATTTTGTATATATGTTAATTTATATTAATAAATCCGATACACGTGCGTTTGCATTTATATCGTTTGAAATATAGGAAATATATATATATATATATATATATATATATATATATAATAAAATGCATATATATAATATGCAATATATAATATACATTAAATCTTTAATATTACATTTAAAAATTCTGTTTAATATCTAACGTCATTCCGTTTTAAATTCCCTGTGTAACATACAAAATATGCACATATAGATGCTGCATATATTTTTATTAGGAAATAATCTAATCAAAATTTAATAACAGAATGGATCGCAAGTGTGATTTCAGTCGAGATGTGTATGATACTATGCACAAAAATTAAACTAGTAGAAGGGGAAAGAATTATCAAACGTTATCGAAAATAAATATTACTTCAAGATATTTTGTCAATATACGCTTGAAATTTTTTTATGTTAGTTATTCCGGAAAATTCAATACTCGATATCTTTAGTGAAGTAAAAAAAAGACGATAGATTTATAAAATTTTGATGAAGAATATAATAATTACTAGTTATTTTATTTTATTAATTTCCGGTAATTTTCCCGCATTAGCTATACTGGAAAATCCGTGCGTAAGCAAGGATAAATTTAAAATGAAATTTTCTTAAGAACTCATTTCGATTCTATGCATTTATGTTTGAAATTACAAAGAGATGGAGCGACGATAAATTTTATTGGATCATACTAGAAAAATCATGATTATTTCTTTTCTATAGATACAAATATCTCATAAATATTGACTAAAAGAATAAATATAAATTGTTCGGGGTATTCCCCGTGGACGGTGAATCATTCTGTTCGATCGCGGATATTATTTGCGAAAGATGCGTGACTAAGGAGAAAATTATCTCGGCGAAATAAATGTCGGTCAATGATCGATGATGCATCTAAATCCAGATTTCGAAGGAAAAATATATTTAGTTTCCTTCATTAAGCTGTTTTTCACATTTAGATTCCATTTAAAATGTAATGAAAATTTGAATTTTTTTGTCTCTATGCGTGCACTACATATTATGATATAAGCGATGTGTTCAATTTATATTATAAATTAAAAAAAAGAAATTATTAGGTATTTAATATTGCCTGTCAAATAATGTCGCTTATTGCTTTTTATTACTCGAATATATTCTTAACTTAATTAATTACTTATTACATTAATTTATTTATACTACTAATAAACTAATAATTTTTATATAAAACGTACAGATTTTAACAAATTAAAATTATTATCGATTAAAATCATTGTCAATTTTGTATGTTTTATTTAAAATTTATTAATTTATGTACATTATATTCTGAAACATTTATTCTAAAACATTTTATTTTCGATCCTTTGTCATTTAAGAATTACTCACTTACTGATATTTTTGTGAGGAAAAAAATCGATATCAAAATCGATCAAATTGATAAATACCTATAGATAAAGCAGGTTTAGAACATTGCATAGTTTCTTTGTTAGTCATTGATAACTACTGCTTTGAATGAATGCAAAATAGCTTTTCTATTATGGTTCAAACAGGTTTTCAAGACAGTCGGATCGTTATTATATTACATATGTGTCAAAAAAGGAGGCAAATATTTTCGACAAAAATTTATCGAGTGGTTAGAAATTTTAAATATTCGCATCGATTATATTTAACCGCTATTAACAGCAGATATTTTACACGTTCATTAAATCGTATATCAATTTCAAAGTTTAATATCCTAATTTCTATCAATGTAAATTAACTCTAATCTCCCGCTTTAATTTATCTTTAGCTTTTTTAATTCTTAGATCTAAGAAAAGATAAAGAATAAGCTAAATAGATTAAATTTAATCTACATTGATAGAAATGGATATAAAAGTTACGTAAAAAAAAAAAACTTTTGATCAATCGAAATTTAAATTTGCGAAAAATTTAATACAAGAATATAGTCCGAAATTTTAACGCGAATTTCATGGAACACGTACCCTTCTTGTTAAGAATCAATGGGGGAAATATTAGGAATAGAAATATTAAATTTTAAATTTTAGAAATAAAAAAATCAGAGTGAAAGTTAAACGCAACGCGCACACAATGAGTACACAAGTAAGTGTAACATGTGTAAGTGTAAGTGTCATAACATATGATTATATTTTATATTTATTTATATTCATTGTGCGTTACATTTAATTTTTATTTCGAATTTTTGAAAATTTATTTCTGTTCCTGATATTTGCTCCATTGTATCCTCACTTGCAGAAAAGAAACACGAGTTCTTAACGCGACCTTATATATATAAAACGCTTGCGAAAGTATCGTTATCGTTTTGATTTTGAAAGGAGTACTTCCCTAACTGATACGAGCGCGCACGCAGTTTCGCGAGAAGATTCGGAAAACAGGTTGGACGCGTTTCTGCGATTTGCATAATCGAGGAATATTTCACGTGCTGGAGATACTATTTCTCGGGAACGGCAAGTCTCTCGGCGCGAGAAACTGCGGCATTCTGGACCTGTTCTGGCCTCGGCTTTCGAGCACGTTTCGCGTGAATATCCAAACTGCGCGCGCTCGTAATCTCTCGTGGAGCTCTCGAGTGGAATGAACAACTTCGCGATAACGACCGCAAACGATCGCGGTCTTTCCTTAATGAAAGGAAACCTCCGCGACTCGCACCGACCTCGCCGGGAAACAAGGCTGCGGCTTCGCGTTTAACGCCTAGGCGCCGTTATGTTTCATTAATTCGCAGCCTCGATTTCGCTAGTGACTCAGCCGTGAGATTATGATGAATGTTATCATTATCAGAGATAGAGACTACTGGCTACTACTGATTGCACTATGAGTACGATTTCTCCTAAGTAGGCATCCGGTCTATTCAGTTTTCCGCACGTGGACTCGTCGTATTTCACGCCGTATTTTTCACGCGCCTGGAGAGAAGAGAGAAGAGAGATTTTTCTCGAAGCGGACTATTATCTAGCTATTTTTTTGTTCGTCGCTATTTAGCAACGCGCGTACCGGGAAGAAAAATAGCTAGTCAGAGCTGCCGAGGATCGGTAGGAAGCTAATCGATCGGGTGTATTTGCACAATTGCACGCGAGGTGACGTATACGATCGGTCTTACATCGTGCCGAGAATCACAAGCCGTGTCGTTCGCGCGTTGCGATTATTTCACCATGGATATCCTCGACATTGACAAATTCAGCCTTCGGACGTCGTCGTTTCGGTGTCACCGCGGAAAGTGAGTCTTGAAAACAGGTGTTACAACATCGTGCCTCGTTTGCTTTACAACCGTCTTTTTTTTTTACAGCTAATCCGCGATCACACGAGAAGAGAATCAGGGAATTATATATCGAGAGATTGACGCGAGAGACAGATCTCGATATTTATGATATGAAACCGCCGCGAGAGCGTCAGCGTGTGACTTTTCGATCCTTCGGTGCACGGGGATCGACTTCTCTAATTAAATAATATTATATTAATCAAATCAATTTATCTTTCGAGCAGCAACCACCACAGATTAATTCGGAGGCGGAATCAATTTGTACCAATTTACCGGCGAATCGCTGTCATCCACGGAACCCCCGGTGGGCTTGTTATCGAGAGCTCTGTCCCCCGATCTCGAGCTGACCGGTCCGGGAAAGACTATGCGATCGGGATCGCCGTGATGCTGCGCGCTGTTTTGTCCCACGATGAATTCGGTGCAGACGAGCGCGAAAACGAGGATTTCCACGCCGCGAGGACGCAGCGGCGACGGGCGGCTGTCGGGCCGAGACGCGCCGAGACGCGATCGCATTTTCATCGTGACGTCTCGCCTCGCCAGTTATTTCACACCTCACACAAGGCACAAGGAGCTCGGCGTCGTTACGAGTTACGAGTTGTCACGAGTCGTTGCTTTCAATTGTTATTAATGATCACTCGGCTATTATCGTCGTTCGAGCGTTTTTTCGCGGCCTGGCCTGGAGGTCGGGCTTTTTTGCTTCGGACGGTGCACACCTGAGCGTAGCACACCGAGTGCTCGCACCGCGATCGACTGATGAGGCGAAGACACGTCCCGCGCGTACTTCTCGCTCGCCTCGCGCATAGGCGAAGAACGAGCGAGCGGACGAGCGAGAGAGCGAGCGAGCGCTCGCTCGTACCGCGTGTCGCATGAATCGACGAAGCGGCGGAGATAAGCGTGCAACTTTTTCGCAGCATCGATTGGCGCGTTCGAGTGCCGAGTTACGTGAGGTTAAAGGGAAGAAAGCGAAAGTAGGGATAGCGAACACCTTGCTCTTCCGCGAATTAGGCTTACGAGAAATAAAGTGATAAAGTAGCTAGATAAGTTCGTTGCTCATCGCGCTCGATACTCCTAATCGTACTTTATATCTGCTCGTTCGTTTCTTTTCTTTTTTGTACTAAACACTAGAAACTAGCGCTCTATTTATTTTCTGGTATCATATTTTTTTTATTTTTATTTTATTCTTCAATCAGATATAGCTAAGAGTCAGATAAATTCTATCAATTTTATGTATTGCGACTATGTATACTTCTATTTCATGAATAACTATCGTGTGACATAAAGAAAAATATTTATATACCTTAACCATACCTTAATATCTTTAATCGATTATAAAATATTCTAAAAAAAAAAGATACAACGAAATATTTTAACATAATTTATTTAACACATTTTATTTGTATTTGTTATCCGTAACGGATAAGATACGTACAACATATATAACAAACATACAAACATACAAACTGTCAAAATGCATTATCTCCACGATGATCCAATCAGATATTGCAGAAAAATGACAGTTTAAACTTTGATACATTCGAATATCGATTTAATATGTCTTTTATAAAAAAAAAAAACGAGTCATAATAAATCGTTAAATGAAATCTTGAAAGAGAAATAAATTTTACGTATAAACAATTTTGATGATAACTCAGACAATAAATTATTGTTTAAATGTATTGATATGTGCTGTTATTAAAATGAACGGCAAATAGTAAGTTTGTTACTTGGGAAATTGAGGAAAAGATGGATATTAGAATTGAGGAAAAGACAGGATATTGATTATGTTTAATGCAAATTGTGTAATTGTATTTTCCGATAACAATCTTATCAGAAGGAATGTAAATACAATGTGTGTGCGTCGTAATAATCTTTACTTTACTTAATAAAAACGATAACTAGTGCGGAAGTTTTCATGTTGTCCGCAAGAACATAGCCGTAAGTCGCTGTTACGTCAGTTACAATTTAAAATAATATAAATATAATGAGTCAGGTTTTTCAATACCTGACGAGTAGCTCGTTGAACAATGTGGGCGTTTACTATTTGCATGTGAAATCGATTTATTCTAAGATTAATTTTCATAACGTTGCGTCTCAAGGTGACAATCGACGGGAACTCTTAACTATAATGACGCAGAAAAATCAGATGTTATCTAAAGAATATAAATAGGAGTGGGGAGACTTGTAAGATAATTTATACACAGACGCAGATAAATGTGGAGCATTTATTGTATCACAAAATAAAATCAGATATTTGGATAGACGAGTAAATAACAATCGAATATCATAGCAGCGTCATCTGTATGATGATTGCTCAAGATTCCTTACGCAGATGGCGTTAGTCATTTGTATGTTTCAATTATTTATTTAATACCATACGTTTATCCGAATTATATCTTCTTCGCACATTTCAACGGTTTAACATTCCCTATGTCTAAAACATTTTGTATATCAACTGAAATTGTCGCAATTGATTTATTATCTCGATTATTTATTCGAATATATTCCAGGATTATTTTTCCAGATGAACAATCTCACAAAATTCGCGCCATCGATAGATTTTAACTCAATTGGTTAATTTCGAGACGCGTTATGGTAAACATGGAACATGTTCAAATCAATTCGCGTTTCTCGCACAGAAGTGAATCGCGCGCGATAAAAATAATTACGAGTATCTTCCGCGGCGCTGAACATTTATTGTGATATAAATAAAATCTGTTTTCTATAGAATTAACTGTACTCGTTATATTCAGAATGAAATAGAAGAATATTCAAAATTTGACGAAAACAAGAGAAAGAAAATTTTAGTGCAATCTAGTACGGCGATAAAAACACATCTAAGAACATCGCATTATGATATCGCAACTTGACATCGGTGTCGCGGATTTATATTTTTTATGTGCTGCTTTCGCACTTCGAAAAATGTCATATTGTTTTTCGACAGAGTTTGAATTCGGGACAAGTGCGAAACGCGTTTGACAAATCGTTTTTACATTGTTACATATTTCTGACGATCTTGTTAACATGAAAAGATAAATTTCGTGAATAGCGGCGAGTGTCTTTTGCGGTATCAGACATTTGTCATTAAACAAGTGGTTGTTTGAAGTGAGCTTCGCTATTTCGATGTCGTTTATGGATGTTGTTTATGTCTGTGTATGAGTGATTCTGTAATCTGTGTGGTTTTAGAATCGATCAAGTTAGTTTTTTCACATCTTTTCTCATATGGTTTTCGCACATTTTCTTGGAGTGAATGTGGGATAGAAACTTAGCCATCAAGTATGTGCATTTTATAATTAATTATATATTTTTTCTTTCTTTCATTAATATTTAAATAATAATTTTAAATAATAATAAGACGTAGATGGCAGAAGATGCCATTTTCTGATTTCTCGTTATTTGTGCAGAAGTTTTAATTAAAATACAAATATTTGTTCTTACTTTTTGCTTCCGAATTAATATTGACTAATGAGAAATAAATAATCAATTTATAAATAAAAAATTATACGGGTTTTTAGAGTGATATTAATAAAAGGTTATTTATTATTAAAGTCATATTTTACTAATAATATATTTGAATTTAAAACTTAAGGGATACAGTTGTATTACTATATTACCGACGATCGAGTTGAAGAAATTTATTTTTCCAACACTACGTTTTAACGACAGTATTTTATTCATGTCAAAACGACAGAAGGTAAACTTACAGAAAATTTAAATTTGACATTTGACAAAACAATGATGCAACAATATTAAACTAAGCAGTCAAACTATTTGAAAATTTAAATTTACTTTAATCTAATCTAATATTTCAAGTATGGAAATATGTTTAAAAAAAACACGAATATTAATCAATTTAGCTTAAAAATACAAGAAATATTATTAAAATAATATTTTTTTTAATTGTTAATATAATAAGAAGTATAATAAATATTCATATGTACATTTTATATGTAAATTTCATATGTACATTATATGATATTTAAACATACAAATTTAACTTCTGTCCCGTTATCATTGAAAGATAATTGCAGAGCAAGAAATTATTTTTTTCAACATTTGACATATTTTGCAAGTCAAACATAATCTGCCATTTATTCTAATATTTCTTATTTCAAATAGTTTTCATTAAAATTAATAATTTTGTTTTGTCGGTAATATTCTTTCAATTGTCGATAGCAAAGTATTAATATAAATTTGTTATAAATCCAAATAATAAATTTTGAAAGATTTTTATCAAATAATAAAACAATATTTAATGTTGTTATAATTAAATATTTTTATGATTTATTACATTTTGTTTACCTAACGTAAATCAATAAACATGAATATTTAATAAGTAACGTTACATCGTTTGTGCGCTGACATAAAGCGAATTGAACTGAGTAGAAAAATCCTATATCATTTTAAGATTTTTGCAATATAATTATAAGAAATTAAGATAAGAAATTAATAATTAAATATCGCTAGATAAGCGCATTTCCATCCGATCCATTAGCAAATGCAAACGTGTATTGAGGCTGATCGTTGAACGTTATGCGCATTTACGATTGTTAAGAGTATGGCAAGAGTATGGCATGTTTAGAGTGTGTGATCTATAAATAATAGAGCATTCGCTTAATAACATTTTCAAATTTCATCTTCATTATGAAATTCACAAAGTTGTAGAGGACCACTTTTCTACTATAGTTGTTCGCTCCGTCTGCACACAAATAATTAATTATTATCATTAATTATTAAATATCCTATGTATTTAAACATGGAGTAGAAAAAGATTAATGAAAAGAAATTATTTGTTTGACAAAGTTATTTATAATAAAAATAATAGTACACAGAATGTTAGGTGCATATTATATAGTTATAAAAGCATATTGGACTTTTGATGGGCGATGGACTTTATCATAAAATTTGTTTTTTTAAAGAAGGCTTTTTTATTTAAAACGTTTACCTTCAAATAGATGTATTATAGAATGACTCGAAAGAATCTGATCGCATTATGATACGAGAGATATAAAAGTGGTGTGATAATTTTCGTTGCTAATATGGCACTTCCAGGAAGAGATATTCTGCATCACTGCTCTCGCACACTATTCTACAATCAAAGAAAAAAGATATTTCGTCATTCTAATCAGTTTATTTCACTTTATATATAACAATAATTAAGAAATATTCTTTTCTCGGACATTTCCACTTTCGTAGAAAATGTACAAAGTAATATTTAAAAAAAAAAACCATTAAAAACTGAAAATGCTACGAAAACTTTGTCGAACCTATTTACCTGGTGCGAGAAAGAACGTCGAAATGTTTTACGTTTATAAGACCTTTCTACAACCTCCGGTACGAAGAGGCCTGTAGCCCTGTGGACATTTCGGCACTGGCCGATTTCGTACGGGGAAAGTCAGTGGCCGTCCCTCACACGCGAATACTAACATTATCGACACGAGAATCAGTAGAATCAAACGGGCGGGTGCCATTATTCCAGGCGATTATTCAATCTTTCAGTCACCCTCTCAAATTTCAAGTCGGATAGATGAAGAGCTAGACAGATTGGCGTCAGGTTTCTCACCTTCTTCTTCCTCAGTTGCGTACCCTTGCAACATCAAAATGCTAATGGACTGGTTCCTACAACAGTAGCGCGTGTATTTATACACAGCTTAGGGAAACACCATCGGAATGCGGTTTCCTGTATCCTTTCCGTTTTTTGTCATCGTTAATTAGCGGTCAAATTCATATCCTGATTGCTTACGCACGAGCGTTTTATTCGCAACTTCCTCGATGTGATTATTATAATGATTATTGAGAATAGTTGTGTGTGACGTATGTATTTTTAGGATTTTATGCGAATATCGTCAACGAATCTTAGGCTTGGTGATTCAACAGAAAGTTGAAGGCGATGGAAGGAATGTATGGAAGAAATGTACAAATATATTTAAAATGTTCTATTTATTGTATCTACACAAAGTAGTTTTATATATATAT